TTTTTAGTAGAGATGGGGTTTCACCATGTTGGCCAGGCTGGTCTCAAACTCCTGACCTCAAATGATCCACCCACCTCAACCTCCCAAAGTGCTGGGATTACAGGTGTAAGCCACTGCGCCTGGCCAAGAATCAGCAATGTTTTAAACAAAAAGTCATTTTTAAAAATTTAATCTTTTTGTCAGTTCAGTTCCACATAATTAATTCTCAATCTGCTTGATGTTGAGTTAGTAGTTCATTGGTTTCTTCATTACAGTTCTGGAAATTCTTACCCAGTCCAATGGTATGATTTTTGTATTTTTTTAGTGGAGACAGGGTTTTTGGCATGTTGGCTGAGCTGGTCTCAAACTCCTGTACTTGCTAGAGTATTATGGGCTACAGGTTTCTGATAACTTTTTTCCATGAATTTTTCTGAAGAAGCAGTTTTGGACTGGAGCTGATTATAAAAGCTTTCAGAGAAAAATAAAACAATCACTATGGATGACAAAGACTTAGAATCGCCATGGTCAAAAATCGGATGAGTGTTTATTATAATCAGTAATTGACAAAGAAATTTGGTTACTTCTGTGGCATACATTTTAACATAGTAAACAAAACTATGATTGATAACATATCAGGTTTCTAGGAATCTCATTCAAATTTTGGAACATTCATATCAATAATGTATCCATAAATATAATAAAGAAACTTTAATGTCACTTATTATTATTTGACCGTGCTTTCATTATAACTTAACATATCAAATAAGCCTAATTTGTTTAATGTCTCTGTTTTACAAGGTGAGAGACACATCATTTGTGTTTTCCAGGGACCTAGCTGGAAAATTCTTAAGTTAATTCTAAGTTAAAAAGACTTAATTTAAAATTCGATTTTGGGCCAAGGCAGGAGGATTGCTTGAGGCCAGGAGTTTGAGAGCAGCCTGGGCAACATTAGTGAGACCCTGTCTCTAAAATAATGATAATAATAATTTTTTTTTTGTTTTACTTTAGGAAGTTTGTCAAAAGTGTCAAAAAAGGGGATGGTGACTTGTGCCTGTAATCTCAGCACTTTGGGAGGCCAAGCCAGGAGGATCCCTTGAGCATAAGAGTTTGAAACCAGCCTAGACAATAGAGGGAGACCACATCTCCATTTAAAAAAAAAAGTGTCAACTGGGTGTGGTGGCTCACACCTGTAATCCCAACACTTCGGGAGGTGAGGTGGGAGGATCACTTGAGCTCAGGAGTTCAAGATCAGCTTGGGCAACATAGTAACATCCCCATCTCCATAAAAATTTAAAATTTTATAATTAAAAAAATTAATCTCAAAAAGTTTTAAAACATGATTAATAGGATCACAGGTCACTATGTCATTCATTTAACCAGAGTCATAATTAAGACTTCAAAGACAAATAAAGTTACATCATTGTAGGAATAGCCTGAGCTCTTTTAATAGAGAGGACTCTGTAAGGGGTGCAGTGGCTCATGCCTGTAATCCCAGCACTTTGGGAGGCTGAGGCGGGCAGATCACTTGAGGCCAGGAGTTCAACACCAGCCTGGCCAACATGGCAAAACCCCGTCTCTACTAAAAATATAAAGATTAGCTGGGCATGATGGCACACACCTATAATCCCAGCTACTTGGGAGGCTGAGGCAGGAGAATCAGTTGAACCCAGGAGGGGGAGGTTGCAGTGAGTCCAGATGGTGACCCTGCAGCCTGGGACAGAGTGAGACTCTGTCTAAAAAAAAAAAAAAAAATAGAGAGGACTCTTCTTTTTAAGTAGTCAAAGACCTGGTAAAAGACATGAAGCACAGGAAATTATTTTGATAAGAAACAAATATTTTTATTTAGGCAGATCACTCAAGAGGTGAAAAAAAGTCTTTCACTCTATCTCATCAATACTATAAGAAAATCTTGTCTTTATAAAAGAGAAGACCAATTCTAGTTTTACCATCAGCATGCTTTTGATATTAGGGCTCATTTTTAAAACCTTTACAATAAATTCATTTAATTTTAGTCAGTGTGATCACACAAGATTCTTCCTCACTTAATCTCTCTCTCTTCCCCATTTCAAATCCACTAAATTTTTGCCCATCTTTTCTTCATTTGTTCTGAGACAATCTTTAAATAACCTTCAAACTAGACAAAATTATCTTTCCCTCAACAACAACAAAAAAAATTCTCATACTGTAGATCATCTTTCTTTGTACACTTTGTATGCAGTGTTCTCTTATTTCTAGTAGTTTTAATTACATATTAGGATTTTAAGTCTTAGTTACTGATATGATTTGACTCTGTGTCCTCACCCGAATCTCATCTGGAATTGTAATCCTCACGGTGTCAGAGGAGGGACCTGTAATCTCCACGTGTCCAGGGAAGGAAGCAATTGGATTATGGGGGCAGTTTCCCCTATGCTGTTCTCATGATAGTGAGTGAATTCTCACGAGATCTGATTTGTTTTGTTTTGAGTCTCACTCTGTTGCCCAGGCTAGAAGGCAGTGGCTCAATCTTGGCTCACTGCAACCTCCACCTCCCAGGCTCAAGCGATGCTCCTGCTTTGGACTCCCAAGATGCTGGGATTACAGGTATGTACTACCACGCCCAGCTAATTTTTGTAGTTTTTAGTAGAGACAGGGTTTCACCATGTTGGCCAGGCTGGTCTCAAACTCCTGACCTCAGGTGATCCACCTGCCTCAGCCTCACAAAGTGCTGGGATTACAGGCGTGAGCCACCACACCCAGCCAGCTATAGCTTTTTACTGTTAATAGAAAAAACGTTTAAGATTTTTCAGGCTGGGTATGGTGGCGCACACTTGTAATCCCAGCAATTTGGTAAACGGAAGCGGGTGGATTACCTGAGGTCAGGAGTTCATGACCAGCCTGACTAACACGATGAAACCCTGTCTCTACTAAATACAAAAAGAAAAAAAAAAATAGCCGGCCGTGGCGGCGCAAGCCTATAATCTGAGCTACTTGGGAGGCTGAGACAGAAGAATCGCTTGAACCCGGGAGGCAGAGGTTGCAGTAAGCCAAGATCGCGCCATTGCACTCCAGCCTGAGCAACAAGGGCAAAACTTCATCTCAAAAAAAAAAAAAAAAAGATTTTTCAGGGTATTTTGTTATTGCTATTTGTTTGCTGCTGAGAATCCTCTTCCTAAAGTTTGCATATCAAAAGAGATAGTTCTTGGATAAGACAGAGTAGAAAATTTACATCTCAAAGGCACAGAGAAAGAATGTAAGTTCTCACCACCAAGGGCACATATTTGCCTATTCGAGGTCTAGCATAATTACTTTTTAAATTTTTCTTTCTTTTTTCTTAAGTGTAGGACTATTCTATTTCCAATGTTCTAATTTTTTAAACATCTTGAGATAAATAGGTGAAGTCTGGAGATTGATAATAAGAATAGGTGGGCTTTGATTTGCTTCTAGAGGCACATTCATGTTTTTGTAAGGGCTTAATTTGTAAGACAGACAATTGTTTTTAATCCCTCCCAAAATTAGGTTGCAGGCTGAATTATATCAAAGGGTTAACCATCCATCTAATTACATTATCTATAATTTGCTCCTTTATATCAGGGAGATTTCCAACTAAAATGGAAATTAAAAGATTCCTCTGTTCTAGATTTATAGCTGTTCATCTTCTGAATGTTTTAATAATCTGTTTTCTTTCTTTCCAAGTATGTGGTTCCATTTTAGCTCAAGGGAGAAGGCCTTAAAAAAAAAAAAAAAAAAGCCAGGCATGGTGGCTCTCACCTGTAATCCCAGCACTTTGGGAGGCCAAGGCGGGCGGATCACAAAGTCAGGAGATTGAGACCGTCCTGGCTAACATGACGAAACCCTGTCTCTACTAAAAATACAAAAAATTAGTCAGGCTTGGTGGCTGGTGCCTGTAGTCCCAGCTACTCAGGAGGCTGAGGCAGGAGAATTTCTTGAACCTGGGAGGCAGAGGTTGCAGTGAGCCGAGATCACACCACTACACTCCAAACTGAGCAGCAGAGTGAGACTCTGTCTCAAAAAAAAAAAATTTCCTATTAAGCTATGAATATATAAACCAAATTTCTAAATCAAAGTTATACCTAACAAATCACTCAAGACTAATAAGCCAAAACTAATAAGCCAAACCCCAAACTAATAAGCCTCTTTTGGCTTTAACCATGGACACATGAGGCATCTCCAGAGAGGGAGCAAGAAGATGCAGCCCTTCCAAGGTAAAAAGCCACTCCCAAAGACAGCCAAAAAAAACCTTAAGACAATGATCCTGAGAGCTGGCAATAGTAGGTACACTAGCCTCAAAAGGGGCACAACCGACAGTTCTGTCCAGCCATATTTTGGGGATAAAAGTGAGACAAAATGAGACAAACAGAAAAGCAATAACTGTCCACGGGAGGGAAAGGATCACTAACAAAGGGGTACTCCAAATCCAAAAGTCATAATTCAAAGCAATTCTTACAAATATTTCTCTCCTTAGCTAAAGGAATGTACTGAGTGTAAGCTCTTTGAGGCTGACTGATGGCACCATGGACGGCATGGTAACCTCTGTAACCTGCACACACACCTCCAGATGAGTTCCTGGAAATAGAAAGTCTGAAGTAACTGGAAAACCACAAAAGGGAAGAATGACCAACCCCTGCGGTGCCTAATTAACTTCGAGACATTCTTCTATTGTTCCTTCCTTATTCCCACCCCAACTGAAAAAGCAACCCGACTTTGTAACCGACTTTGGTCAACCTTGTGACTCCAGACCCTATGACCCCCTCCAAGCTTACAAAAACCGCTCTGAACTGTAACTTCGTAACTTTCCACTGCCTACCCCAAACCTACAAAACCAACTGCTATCCCTCTGCCCTCCATGATTCTCTTTTCAGACTCAGCCTGCCCACACCCAGGTGAATAAACAGCCATGTTGCTCACACAAAGCCTGTTGTTAGGGGGTCTCTTCATTCAGAGCGCATGTTTAACATTTTGTGCGACCCCCTTGTAGACCCCTGCCCGGTACCCGATCCCAAATAACAGCTCGAGAGTTGGAAGCCGAGTTCAGGTTTATTGGGACCAGCGGGCAGGCCAGGAAAGGAAGGAGATCGGGGCTGGCTGCGACTGCGCAGCTGGGGTAGGAGGGTTTTATAGGGGGGGTGGACGGGGCGTGGACACAGGGCTGGCGGAGTGTCGTAGGAGCTTAGGATAGGCTGTCCGTCTCTGGGCAGACTGCTGAGGTGGCTCAGAGGGTTACGTGTCAGTTCAGGATAGGCCGAGGCTTGGCGGGCTTTCCTGCTGCGATGATTGGCTGCTTGTTGTTGCTGGGCAGAACAGAGCAGGCTTGGCGGGCTTTTCTCCGGGCAGCAGGAAGCCTGGGGGGCGGGTGGGGGCAAGAAACCTGGGGGAAAGATGGCGGGACTTTCTACCGAACATTCCCGACTCCTTAAAAAGGAAAAGGGCGGCGGAATCGATCTGGCTACTTCCTGCTGACAAGGGTCGACGGGGGGTTCTGAAGAGGTCTCTTTTCTTAAGGAGCCTGGATGTTCAGGGAGAGGTCTGTTTCTTGCACTCGTTCAGGGTGGGGTTGGAGCAGCATCTGGTGGATGGTGACTCGAGTCAGTTCTTGAAAGCACCGCTGTATGAACTGTAGAAAGCAAGGAGCAATAAGTAAGATTAGGCAAACGGCTACTAGGGGCCCAAGCAATGGGGACAAGAGGGTATACATAGAGGAAGACCACCACGCTGTGGCTTCAGCTGAGAACTTCTGACTCTGCAGGCTAGTTTTGAGTTTCTGGAGGCTCTCGATTCGGGTTTCTACTAGGCCGGATTCATTGATGTAGTAACAGCACTCTTCTTGTAGGAAGATACAGGTCCCTCCTCGTTCAGCAGTGAGCAGGTCTAGGGCTCTTCGGTTCTGCAAGGCAACTTGGGCAACTGAGGTGATCTGTCGTTGGAGTGATGCTAAAGACTCAGTAGAGTCATCAATAGCCGCTTGGAGCTGTGAGGTCAGTCGGGCTATGGCCAGGTGAGAGTGGACTAGTGCCCCTCCCCCTAATCCTGCTGCAAGTGCTGAACCAGCAAGGGAGACTCCAACGGCAATGGGTAGGAAGGCAGCTCGTCGGGTGCGGCGATGGGGAGCTTGCAGCATCTGGAATTCGGCTGAAGAATATATAGTGAGTCGAGGGACTAGGGTTACTGGGAGGCATAAAAGAGATGAGGAAAGGCCAATGTAGAGAGTTTTTGTTAAGGTCCTGTTACACCAAAAAAACGTTCCTCGTGGGGCTGTTATATTAGTGGTTACCAGTATAGTTCTGTTACAGCTAGGGAAGTTTCGGCCTAGGGAATAGCACACAGGTAGCTGTTCAAAATCAGGTGGAGTGTAGAGATCAACTTCCCTGACGGGGGAGAAGGAAGAAGTTGAGGCTGAAAGGTTGAGAGGGATGGGGTAAGGGACTGCAACGAAGGGAGTCTGTCCTAAGAAGGCACACATGAGGCATGAAGTTAGGTCAGTTAGTCCTGAGAGGTTAGCTAACTTGATTCCTTCTTGGAGAAAAGTTAACCAGGAAAACGGAGACGAATGTGGTTGCAATTGGTCATTCAGAGATTTTTCTTGTAGGCTAATATCAGAGTGGACTTGGTGGACTGTACGTACGTATGCCCGCCAGATGTACAGGTGGGAAGAGGGATATTTGGTATCTTTGTGGTCATACACGGCAGCTTTCTGGGGGCTTTTCCACCGGTTGTCCCAGGGGTCAGGTATGAGAATGGAATACCGTGTAGAACCGATAATGGTGTTTCCTTCTCCATCTATGTCTGGGATGATTTTGAGCTGAGATCGGGCAGGTACTGTGGACTTGACGGCTATATGTAGTCGACAGTTCATCAAAGTACATCCCATGCAGGAGCGCCAAGGAGTATTATTGCATGCTCCTGATGGTTGGTCATGGTTGAAGCACATGAGGGGTATATCAGTATGGATGTTATGGAATTTGATGAAGTTCAGATATATGGCCCTTTGGCATCCGGCTGCGGGGCAGTCGGAAGTTGCAAGAAGATGGTTGTGGCTGTATGGAGGGGTATTACAGATGAAGGTGGTTTTGGTATAGTTTTCAGTTAGGAAGAATCTCCATCTGTAGGGGGTGTAGCTGCTAGGCCCTGGTAAGTTTGACAGATAAAGGGCCAGTAGGAACAGCCTTCCAGCATAAGGAGGGTCCATGAGGGGCCTTTTTTACCCGAGACAGGTGGACCCAAGATGGGATTTCAGCAACTCTTATAGCTGATGGAGTGGTAAGGAGGACTGTGTATGGTCCTTCCCACTTGGGGGCGAGGGGCTTTGGGGAGAGGGACCTGATAAGAACTGAGTCCCCGGGGGAGACTTTCTGTGTATTTTCAGATGGCTGGGTGGGTTGGGGAAGAGAAGCGTTGGCGTGTTCTCGGAGAAGGCTGCAAAGGAGAGTAAAGTAGGGGAGGTAGCTGTCTAGAGGAGTGGTCTCTGGCGGTGGGGGAGTTGAAAGTAGGAAGGGGCGACCATACAGCACCTCAAACGGGCTAAGCTGTGATGGGCCCCGGGGGCTTGCTCTCAACCTGGTGAGGGCGATAGGAAGCAAGGTTACCCAGGATTGGCGGAGCTCAAGCATGAGCTTGGTCAGATGCTCCTTTATTAGGCCATTGGCCCGTTCCACCTTACCAGAGGACTGAGGATGGTAGGCGGCGTGTAGCTTCCACTGAATTCCTAGAGAGGTAGAAACGGCATTAGTGACTTTGAAGATAAAGGCTGGGCCGTTGTCTGACTGTATGGTAGCCGGGAGTCCAAAGCGTGGGATGATGTCTTGAATGAGATGAGTGGCTACTGTCCCGGCAGACTCAGAGGCTGTGGGGTAAGCTTCAATCCAGCCTGAAAAAGTGTCAACAATGGTTAGCAGATACCGGTACTGTTTATGCTTTGGCATATGGGTGAAATCAATTAGCCAGTCTTGGCCAGGTAGGAACCCGCGTAGCTGATAAAGCTGGCGCCGAGGATGACAGGAACCCTGGGAATTAGTTTTTGCGCAGACAGTACATGAGGACTGGACTTCCTGTATGGTACTGAGGAGATGGTGAGGGTGAAAAGTGGGTTGAGGAATCGGTATAAGGCTTTAGGCCCAATGTGGAGTGGGATGTCTTGGATTATCTGGTACCTTTGCTTTTCAGGGAGGATGAGGAGGTTATGCTTGAAGGCCAAGTCATCCTTGAACCGTACCCCGGGGGTAGACTGGAGGGTCTGGAATTCTGAGGCAGAGTATTGAGGGCTAGGAGAAAGAGGCTGTGTGGGCTGGCGGTGGGGAAGGTTATGACGGCCTTCAGCTTTGAAAGGATGTCTCGCCCCAGAAGGGGAACTGGGCAGGTGGGGATTACTAAAAAGAGTGGGTGAATGGAGTGGAGTTATATGAGCACATGAGGGGTGGGGTTTGGTAGGGGATACTCGGGGTCCCATCGATTCCCATGACCGAGACCTGGGAAGGGGTGAGACGGCCAGAATAAGAAGGAAGAGCGGAGGAGGTAGCCCCCATGTCTTGTGACCCTAGGCTCGGCAAGGGTAACCGGAGTCGGAAAGCCAGGGCCCCGCTAGTCGTCTAGCAGCCCTAATAGCCTGGGGAATGGAGTTCCCTCGGAGGTCGGCTCCTGGCAAGCAGGCTCCTCCCTACTGAGGGTGACTGCCGGCTGAGTAACGCCAGTGTGTCTGTTTTGAGGAACCGGCACCCTGGGGAAGCTGGGGCAGTCTGACTTCCAGTGTCCCGGGAGCTGACAGATAGGGCAAGGCTTAGTTGGTGGCCGTGGTTGTGGACAGGCTCGGGACCAGTGTCCTTCCTTTCCACATTTAAAACATGCTCCCGGAGGGGCATGGGTTTCGGCCTTGGGCTTCTGGTTCCCTGCCGGCCTTAGAGCCGCCACTAGGGCTTGGGTCTGGAGGGCAGCCTTCTGCTTCATGCGAGTTTGGCGGGCAGCCTCAGCCGCATCTTCCCTGGCATTGAATACTTTAAAGGCCATTTTTACCAGGTCTTGGATGGGAGTCTCTGGCCCCTCTTCTGCTTTCTTTAGTTTCTTTCTTATGTCGGGTGCTGATTGGGAGATAAAATGGGAGGCTAATACAGTGGCCCCGTTTTGAGGGGCTGGATCTAGTCGAGTATACCGGACAAGGGCTTCTTACAAGCGGGCGAGAAAGAGGGCGGGGTTCTCATCAGGTAGTTGGGTGATTTCTCTCAGTTTATCATAGTTTACAACTTTGTTAGATACAGCATCCATTCCCCTGAGGAGGTATCTAATCATGCGGTCCCTCTTGGGTATATCAGACCCTCGATTAACCTGATAGTCCCATTGGGGGTCTTCACCTGGGATTGCTTCGGGGCCTAGGGGGATCTGGTTATCTATAGCATGGTCTTTATCTGCTTGGTTTCTGGCTGCAGCGAGGATGCGCTCGTGCTCCTCCACTGTGAGGGTGGAGGAACAGATAATGCGAATATCATGCCAAGTGAGGCTGTAGGCTTGAGTGAGGTATTGGAATTCCTTAATATAGGTGGATGGGTCGGCTGAGAAGGATCCTAAACGTTTCTCAATTTGGGACAGGTCTTGGAGTGAGAAAGGAACATGGACCCTGATTAAACCTTCTGCGCCTGCTACTTCTCGGAGTGGGGCCAGGATAGCTGGCTGGTGGGAGCGGGTGTGGGCCGCCACCGGAGAGGCAAGAGGAAGTGCGGCCTCTGAGGGAGGGGGCTCGGAGGGAGTAGAGGGAGAGCGAGGCATGGCCTCCGAAGTAGGAGGTGCAGAGGGAGCAGAGGAAGAGCGTGCCGTTGATGGCGACTGGTTGCTGAGATTGGCAGGAGAGGATAGATGTTCAGGCAGATCCTCCGGTGAGGAGTAGGGAGGGGGAGAGGTAGTGGACTTCTGGAGTGGGAACAAAGGGGGAAGACATGTGGTCAGGCATCTTTTCCTGTAGAGTATAGGGAGGTGGCTTGGTTGGGGAGGTAGGAGTCTGCGGTGGGGGAGTTCGGGCTAAAAGAACTTGGTGAGTGGAGCAAGAAGAGCAGAGGTCAGGATGGGAACGCAGGTCCCAAAAAGCCTGAACATAAGGCACTTCCTTATCTTTGCCAGTTCGGCAGCAGAAGTTATCTAGGTCGCGGAGCACATTTAAATCGAAAGTGCCAATGCGACCTGTTATCGAGCTGATACTGGGGCCAGGCCACCTGGGAGAGGAAGACAAGCTTTTTCCGCCTAAGGGTTTTGGGAGTAGCCCAAGCGGGTAAAGTCGAGAAGTAAACAACCTAGTGGGGCGTTTTTAGGAATTTTGGACTCCATGTTCCCCATGATGCGTGCGGCAAAGGGTTCCTGCCAGCCAAGGGCGGTCTCGGAACAGTATCCGAGTGGGCTGGGGTAGTGTGGGGGGAGGCGTCCCTCCAACCCACCAGCTTCCCCAGAGGAAGGTGGATAGGAAGGACCAGAGAAGGCGTCCCCTGTCTGATCGTTCCTATTTAATGGTTTTGGATTGGGTGGGTCAGAGAAGGCGTCCCTTGTCTGCCGACCCAAGGCTCCTGGAGCCTGGTTGGGGATCCTGCTCGGGCCGGCCGGCACTTGGCGAGGGATCCGTGGATTGGGACTGAGAGGAAGGGCCTTTGCCACACGCACCACGGAAGGAGAAGGTAAGAAACAGGACTTACCTGGTCCGGAGTGCTGAGGCCGAATTGGAGGAGGGCTGGGGAGGTCGCTGGAGGGAGGGGGTCGCTAGGGGGGCTAGCGACCCTCCGTCCCGGGTTTCGGCACCATATGTGCGACCCCCTTGTAGACCCCTGCCCGGTACCCGACCCCAAATAACAGCTCGAGAGTTGGAAGCCGAGTTCAGGTTTATTGGGACCAGCGGGCAGGCCAGGAAAGGAAGGAGATCGGGGCTGGCTGCGACTGCGCAGCTGGGGTAGGAGGGTTTTATAGGGGGGGTGGACGGGGCGTGGACACAGGGCTGGCGGAGTGTCGTAGGAGCTTAGGATAGGCTGTCCGTCTCTGGGCAGACTGCTGAGGTGGCTCAGAGGGTTACGTGTCAGTTCAGGATAGGCCGAGGCTTGGCGGGCTTTCCTGCTGCGATGATTGGCTGCTTGTTGTTGCTGGGCAGAACAGAGCAGGCTTGGCGGGCTTTTCTCCGGGCAGCTGGAAGCCTGGGGGGGCGGGGGGGGCAAGAAACCTGGGGGAAAGATGGCGGGACTTTCTACCGAACACATTTGGTGCTGAAACCTGGGATGGGGGAACTCCTATGGGAGACCAAGCCCCCTGTCCCTGTCCTTGTGCTCTCTCCGTGAAGAGACCTACCTACGACCTAGGCTCATCAGAGCAGCCTGTGCATCCACTCACATCCTCAGATCAGGTAAGTGCTTTGCCTCAACTCTCTTCTTTAGCCCTTCTTGCTACCTGTCAACCTTCTCCTTTCAGTTTCATTTTCCTCTCCCTTTCAGCGGAGACAAGAAAGGCAGGACTTTCTGTGGTTCATGACCAGAAAAAATTCTATGTAGGTCATGGAACCAGGAAGACACTCTTCTCACTGACTGATCACTGGGGAGATGTCTGCTCTGGTCACTGACTCACACTTGTAGGTGATGGATCAATGCGGGGGATGCCCCCCTTAACTGATTCACCCCAGTTACAGACCAAGATTTAGTCTGGGATGCCTGCTAAGCTGCTTGTTTGAACACTCACTTTCCTTGTCTCCGCCACTCTTCTTAAACTATGGGCAATCTCCCGCACTCCATTCCTCCCTCCTCTCCCTTAGCCCACATTCTGAAAAACCTCAGACCTCTCCAGCTCTCACCTGACCTAAAACCTAAGCATCTTATTTTCTTCTGCAATATCACTTGTCCACAATATAAATTGGACAATGGTTCTAAATGGCCAGAAAACAGCACCTTTGATTTTTCTATCCTGCAGGATCTAGAAAACTTTTGTTGTAAAATGGGCAAATGGTCTGAAATTCCCTACATCCAGGCATTTTTTTGACACTCCAATCCTTCCCTAATCTCTGCTCTCAATGCAACCTGTCCCAAATTTTCCTTCTCTCCCTTCCATCCACCCCTCCTGACTCCACCAGTAACCCAGAATCCTACTCCTCCATCAACCCTTCCAATCTTTCTCCTCCCCACCTGTCGGGACCAGACCCCAATCCAGGCCCTAACCTCCCCCTAGAGCCTCCCTCCTCTTCCTCTGCCCACAACCCCCCTCCTATGCCCTTCCTGTCACCTCCCCACCTCATACCCGGTCCAGCTTACAGTTTAGTCCTGCAGCTAACTCCTCCACCCTGCTCAACAATTCCCCCTTCGAGAGGTGGCTGGAGCCAAAGGCACAGTTAGGGTGCACGTTCCTTTCTCTTTATCTGACCTTTGCCAAATCAGCCAACGGTTAGGCTCCTTTTCATCAGCTCCTCCAATACTTAACTCAGTCCCATAATCGCATGTGGAGTGACTTAAATGTCATCCTTACTTCTACTCTTACCCCTGAAAAACACTTAATATGCATTTTATCACCCAATCGGCCCCTGACATTAAAAAAAGCTACAGAAATTAGAATCTGGCCCTCAAACCCCACAACAGGAATTGATCAACCTTGCCTTCAAAGTGTTCAATAATGGGGAAAAAGCTACCCACTGGCAGTGCATCTCAGAACTACAGATGCTTGCCTCTGCTGAAGGACAAACCCTAGCCACACCACCGGCTCACAAAGACTTCAAAGCGCCCAGATTGCAGCATCCAGCTGCCCCTCCCGGACCTTGCTCCAAGTGTCAGAAACCTGACCACTAGGACAAGGAATGCCCGCAGCCTGGGATTCCTCCTAAGCCATGTCCTGTCTGTGCAGGACCCCACTGGAAGTCAGACTGCCCGACTCAAACTGCTGTCTCCAAGGCTCCAGGAGCCCAACCCCATAGCCCTCAGTCTGACTCTTTCCCTGATCTCCTCGGCTTAGCAGCTGAAGACTGACGCTGCCCGAACATCTCAGAGGCCCCCCGGACCATCATGGATGCTGAGCTTCCAGTAACTCTTATGGTGAAGGGTAAGTCCATCCCCTTCTTAAGCAACACAGGGGCCACACACCCCACGCTGCCTTCTTTTCAAGGACCCGTCTCCTTGGCCTCCGTAACTGTCGTGGGAATTGATGGCAGGCCTCCGGGCCTCTCAAAACCCCCCAAGTCTGGTGTCAATTAGGCCAGCATTCCTTTCCACATTCTTTCTCAATCGTCCCCACTCGTCCAGTTCCCATTAGGCCGAGATATCCTTACAAAATTGCCTGTCTCCTTAACTAGTCCTGGGCTACAGCCACACCTCATGGCTGCCCTCCTCCCAGAACCCGTACTTCACTCAATAGCTCCCCTTATGTCTCTCTACCTTAACCCTAGGGTGCGGGACACCACCTCCCCATCCTTTGGTACAAGTCGCTCACCCCTCATCATTCCCCTTAAAACCTAACTGCCCTTATCCTGCCCAGTGTCAGTACCCCATCCCACAACAGGCTTTAAAAGGCCTAAAGCCTGTTATCACCCATCTATTACAACATGGTCTTTTAATTCCTACTAACTCTCCTTGCAATTCCCCATCCTACCTCCAAAAACCGGACAAATCCTATAGACTAGTCCAAGACCTCCACCTCATCAATCAGATTGTACTTCCCATCCATCCTGTTGTACCAAACCCCTATATCCTCCTATCTTCCATACCCTCTTCCACAACTCACTGTTCCATTCTTGACCTGAAAGACGCCTTTTTCACCAACCACTTACACCCCTCCTCTCAGCCTCTTTTCACCTTTACTTGGACTGACCCCAACACCCACCAGTCCCAGCAGTTAACCTGGACTGTTCTTTCCCAAGGTTTCCAAGGTAGTCCTCATTACTTTAGTCAAGCCCTTTCCCAGAATACTTCCACCTCCGGATACCAGGTTTTGCCCTCCTAACCAAACCACTTTATAAACTTACAAAAGGAAACTTAGCTGACCCTATAGACCAAAAATCCTTCCCCCCATTCTTCCTTCCATTCTCTAAAAAGACATTAGAGACTGCTCCTACTTTAGCACTCCCAACTCCTCTCAATCCTTCTCGCTCTACACAGCAGAAATAAAAGGCTGTACCATCGGAATTCTTATTCAGGAGCCAGGCCCACAGCCGGTAGCCTTTTTATCCAGACAACTTAACCTCACAGTCCTGGGCTGGCCCTCAGGCCTACGCACAGCAGCAGCTGCCGCCATGATACTCTTAGAATTCCTCAAAATCGCAGGCTATGCCCCACTTACCCTCCATAGCTCTCACAACCTCCAAAGTTTAGTTTCCTCTTCACACTTTACACACATACTTTCCACCCTTCACCTCCTCCAGCTCTATTCACTATTCATTGAAACCCCCACAGTAACCATTGCTCTCAGTCCTGACTTCAACCCAGCCTCTCACTTAATACCTAACACAAATCCTGAACCCCCATGACTGTATCTCCCTAATCCATATAGCATTCTCCTCATTTCCCCATATTTCTCTTTTTCCTATTCCAGACCCAGACCACACATGGTTTACTGATAGCAGTTCCTCCAAGCCCAGTCAGTTGGCAATAGCCAAAGCTGGGTATGCTGTTGTATCCCACTCGTCTAGTATTGAGGCTGCCACACGCCCCTCTTCCACCACTTCTCAGCAAGCTGAACTGGTTGCCTTAACCTGTGCTCTTACTCCTGCCAAAGGACTACATGTTAATATCTATACTGACTAAATATGCCTTCCACATCCTACACCACCATGCTGCCATATGGGCAGAAAGAGGTTTTCTCACCACACAGGGGTCTTCTATTATCAGTGCCCCCTTAATAAAGGCCCTCCTTACAGCTGTACTTCTCCCAGCCAAGGCCAGTTATTCACTGCAGAGGATTCAGGATTTGAGCCACTCTTAAAGAACCCACAGGGTATAGCCCCTTTGAACTCTTATATGTTTGCACTTTTCTGCTTGGGCCTAACCTTATTGCAGACACCAGTCCCCTTGCTGACTATCTTCCAGTCCTCCAGCAGGCCAGACATGAAATCCACCAGGCAGCTAATTTCCTCTTACCCACTCCAGATACCCAGCCACATGAAAACACCCAAGCTGGAAGGTCAGTCCTAGTTAAAATCCTAACCCCTCAGTCTCTGCAACCTCAGTGGTCAGGACCCTTACCTGTCGTCTATAGCACCCCAACCGCTGTCCGTCTACAAGACCCTCCCCAGTGGGTCCATCATTCCAAGATAAAGCTGTGTCCATCAGACAATTGGCCTGACTTCTCTGCCTCCTCCTGGAAGTCGCAAGTACTCTCCCCCACTTCTCTTAAACTCACTCCCATCCCCGAAGTGGAAGAGTAACTCTACATAAACCCAACATACCTTTTACTTTCATTAGGCATCTTTTCCCTAACACCACTATTTAATGCAGTCGCCCCTACTACTTAAACCACACCTCAGAAAGTCCCTGTTTGTATTATTTTCTTACTGTGCTGAAATTCACTGTACTCATTTACTTGTACATGCCCTGCTTTTGTTTAGGTTGTCAGTTTAAACTTTTCCTTCAGGCAATTACAGCTGATATTTCATGGTTTTACCCTCAAGCTACTGCACTTAATTCTCTCTTAGAGTGGATAATCTTCAGTGGCAGGGAACTCTCCAATATTCCACCCTGATAAAGTCCTCTTCTTTTCTTTTATACTCACTCTTAATCTCACTCCCATTCTCTGCTCATACCCAGTCTTGTTAATGAAAGTGAGTGGTTACTTATAGATACCACGTGCTTCCTCATGCACCATGAAAACAAAAG